AATTATTGAATTGTATATGTTTGAATAAAGAATAAAATATAATATCAATTATAATTCTTAAGTCTTAATGTTAAGGTATTGTAGATATTATTCTGTTATACCTTCTATTAATTATAATATTATTATGCAACATCATGAAATATCAAAGAGAAGGTTTAATTCAAACTAAAAACATTTATTGAATAGGTAAAGAATAATATACTTATTATAAGAATAATGGATGATTTATAACTATACACAATATAATATTAACACATTATAATATTATCATCATCTGATAGTTACTGTGTAACTTTTGGCTTTAACGGAATTTATATTGTACCTATACATAATAATACAGGTTTAGGACATTATATTTCTATAATAATAATTCTTTTTTTTCTGTAAAAAATTGTTTGATGTAGAACATAATATAGAGATGCTATTTTGTTATAAATTGTTTTAATTTGTATAATTTTTTTTATAAAACGTGTTTATTTTAGTTGTTAATTGTTTATTTTGATTTGTTACATTTTTTTAAACATTTAACACATTAAAAAGTATATTTAAATTGTTATTCTTATAGTTCTATTATCTGAACGTTTTAACACTAAAAGCATAATATAACTTGTAATTTTTCTTTTGTTAAATCATATTTAAGAGTTAAACTGTTAATGAATATTTAGAGAATATTTGAGGTATTTCCGGGTGACCGAAATATTTAGAAGACTAAATATTAATAATAAATCTTTTGAGTTATCTTAAATTCTTAACTACCAACATTTTTAAATTAAAAAGTGTATTTTAATACTTTAATAATTTTATTATATTTATTAGGTAGGTCGCAAACAAAGATTTTATATTTTTTAGGTAGGTAGTTATTATCGTATAATTATTCAATGATAAACAAATTGTAAATAAATATCTTAGAGACGTAGAGTTTAGATATCATTTATGTTCTCTTCTGAAACGTATTAGTATAACCACAATTTATCCAATATAATTTAATCATGTATTTTTTATACTAAAAAATTGGAATTATGTGTTTATTTTTTTTATTTTAAATATTTTAAAAGCATTGCTATGAGTAATGGTGCACTCATGTGGGCTCTAAGAAAAAAAATTAACTGTCCAGAAGTTCTTAAAGTGTATTGTTGTTCATTTTAAGATCGTCCTTATTCAAATGATGTTAATCAGATGTAAGTTTTTGTACAGTTAATACTTCATTTACTATAAAATTCCTAATAGTTTTTTAAAACGCCGCGATAAACAACATAAAAATTAAGGAAAAACGGGAATTTATACGCAAAATCGGTTTTCCAGAAAATCAATTTTGGTTTTTGGTGTTACTCTAAAACAAATGAACGTCTTCATAACATTTTCTCTGGTTGTTTATATTTGATTTTTCTATACACGATAAAATTTTCAAAATATTTTGATTTGTTTTAAATTGTTTAAGAACATTTTCAGTTTTCAATTTTATCAGTCTTTTTTTCAATGGATGTTAATAAAACTTTATTTGTTAGGTAAAAAAGCTTGAAAATTCAATACAAGGCTCCTACTATATTGTTACAATGATATTTGAAAAAGATTAAAAATCCTTACTCACAGTTTTTATTTATAAGCATTTAAAGTTAAATCTTGACAAAACACGGAAAAATCAAGAAAATTAACAATTTATTTTTAGTGAGAATTCATAAAAAATTTTCTTTTTAAAATTAAGATTTGAAAATGTTATGCAAGATTCCTCATAAGTTTGTCTACGTTTATCAAAAAAAAAAAAAAAAATGTCTACAAGCAAATCAAAGTAAATTTTTATGAGCGCTTGAAATTCATATTTTTACAATATTGGATATTCACTACATTTCTCATGTAGCGATTTTGTTATTTTGTTGTAATTCAAAAACGAATAACTGTAGGTACACGAAAATTTCACTGAATATATTCTCATTTTATATACACTATATATTTTTGAAAATATTTTGACTTGTTTTGAGCTATTTACAGCTATTGTCAGTTTTCAGTTTTTTTAGTTTTTTTTTCTATAAATATCAATAAAATTTTATTTGTTGGGTAAAAAAGTTTTTTTTTTAATACCATAGATAAGTATATAGTACCTATGTCTTATACCTAGACTGGCATACCGTCACGGCTCAGAATCGTATTTCTTATACAAAAAAAAAATGATATTATATCATTGAATTCAAATTTAATACCATCCATTATACAGTGACTTACTTCTAACCTACTGTACAGCAGAGCAACTATTTTATTGATCTTTAAATATAACTCGGCAGCAAGAGCAATTAGTTATGTTAAAAATGTTGTGTCATAATCTTTTAATTAATGTATTAAAATTATTCATAATAATTGAAAAATTAAGAAGTTTTGATTGATTTATGCTTATAATAATTTTGTATGTTTACATTTTTGTGTTTTAACTAGTATTTAATTGTATGTTTAGTATATGTTTAACGAAGAAGAAAATGACTTACTTCAAGATATTAAATTTCTTCCCCACTATTCAGTCATATCCAAATTGAATAATATTGGAAAGAGAGCAAACACAACAATTTTAAGTATTATTATTTATTAGTATATTATATTGTATACAATATAATACTAAATATATAATTTTATTTTTAATATTTTTTTATTCGTGGTACAGCTTCAACAGCTAAGGTTATTTGATTGCAACAAAAAAAGAGGTATTTAGTTACATATAAATATATATAATTTTACGGGATGCAAAATATGATAAAATGAATATTTATAGTAGCTTAATTTATTATTCTAAATTAAAGCCCTATTTAAGTTACAAGCATATATAATGAGCGAGCTCAAATCACGTTTACCACTATTATTAAGGATTATAAATAAAACTCATCATCGAAATGATCGAGTTAATAAATATTTTGAAAAATGTGTTTAAAATAAATATTGAAAAGGAATTTAATTTGACCAACCTAAAAATAATTCCAGTTTCAATAATTCAAGTTTCATAAAAAAATATAATTTATTCTGTTCCCGATTTATTTGATAATATTAACTGTTCATTTCACTACTTCTATCAATTCGTTTTGTGTGTGTGTGTGTGTGTGTATTGCACTATAAATTGTATATTTTTTTAATTAAAATGTTTTGGTAAAATAATACAAGTGTAAATACTATTTTAGAATCTGAGTGAAACGATGAATGTATTGATTTTACAATGTTGTGTGTTTTTGTATTTTTATTGTTTTTTGTGTCTGTTATCACCTTTTAGGACAATAAACGTACTTGGATTTTCTTCAACAGTATCTTTTCTGATAAGAAAGTGAATGTAGTTGGTGCTTTAGGGGGTAAAAAGGGACAACAATTTCCAGTAGTTTTCAAGAGTGCAGTGAAAAACAAAAGAAAAATCCTTAGTCACAGTTTTTACTTTTTTGTTATAAGTTCAAATATTGACAAAATACGTAAAAATGACGAAAATTTGCAAATTATTTCGAGTTAGAAATTCATAAAAATGTTTCCTTTTTAAATCTAAGATATGAAAATCTAATACAAGATTAATCATAAGTTTGTATACCTTTATCAAAAAAAAAATATCTACAAGAAACTCAAATTAAATTTTTATGGGCGTTTGAAATTCATATTTTTACAACATTTGATATTCACTCGATTTCTCATGTACCGATTTTCTTATTTTGTTGTAATTAAAAAACGAATGACTGTAGATACTTGAAAATTTCACTGAATGTTTATATTAGCATTTCCTATACAACATATAATTTTGAAAATATTTTGACTCTTTTTAAGCTGTTTACCGTTTTTGCTCAGAATCGTTTTTCTTATACAATGATATTATATCATTAAATTCAAATTTAACTCTATCCATTATACAGTGACCCACTTGTAACCTACTGTACAGCAGAGCACCTTTTTTATTTTTATTTTATGATCTATTTTAACTCTTTTTGTTAGTAAATTTCAAAGTGAAAAAAAAATAAAAATCAGAAAAATTAAATTTTTAAAGTACCTACCTATAGATAATTTAGTGACGATTTCAAATCTGCTTTCAAAGTTAGTATCAGAACATTGAATTGGGCATAGTCATTGAAGTCGTGAGTTATGTTTTTGACTGAAAATGAATCACGCTCCAGCCCCCTTAACAACAAATATTATAATATTTGTGTGTACCTATGTTTAAATTATTTTTTAACATAGACAAACATGTCACCAAATTACAGGAATCAAATAAAATAGTATTTTATTATGATAAAATAATTATAAAATTACATTTTATTATTAACTGTTCATAGTTTACTACTACTATCAATTAGTTGTCTATGTGTGTATGTGTATAATATGTTTGTGTGTTATTGTACAATAAAATGTACATGATTTTAATTTAAATGTTTGGTAAAAAAACTTGTACTACAAATATGTTTTAAAATTTTTTTATTCGACTGAGTATGATTGATTTGTTTTGTGCCTTCAACTACAAATATAAAAATAACAGGCTATCTTAAGTTTACACATACAAGTTACAACTAGTGAGATAGTAAGTAATTTATATAATTATATGATATATATTGATTTTACAATAATTTGTGTATAAACACGATTTATAGAAGAAAAAATGCTTTGCAACTTCAATATATTTTTTGGTGGCAAAGTGAATCTAGACAGTACAACATAGTCGATCGCCTACAACAACCGAAACCGAACAGAGGAAAACGCCCACTCTGCGATCCCCCTTCCCAAATGACGCTTGACCGTCACCGAAAACACCCTGAACACCATAAATAACAAATTGTTAAGAATTTACGACAATACTGGTAACAGACAACAGTCATTGAGTCATTCCAGTGAGCATTCCAGTTTACGGTTCACACGTAGTTTACATCCCCATTTGTTGAATTTCAGTCGTGAAAAGACACTGCATAACGCATGTTAATAATATTTAATATACAGTACGTAATTGAACTGTTTTTTTATATTAATTGTTTTGGATTATTTTAATAATTTTTAAATACAAAATGTATTTTGTGGATACAGATCCGTCAAGAATTAATTTCGTCAATAAAAATCGACAAGGAAAGGTAAAAATATTTTAAATATTATTAAGTATAGGTACCTATACAACTTACCTAGGTACATTATACTTGGAACGGCTTTTGTGATGCACGCTCTTAGGGTGGGAGAGGGTCATGTCTTGGAATGTCATGTTTTCGTTTATTTTTCGAATGAAAAATATTAGAAAAGTTATTTTTTCAAATAGTAATAAAATCGAAAAATTATCTGTTTGAAACGAAGTATGTACGAAAATTATGTATTTAAATCAAAAAGCTATCTGATATTTTAAAAATTAATAAAAATAAATATTTGTAAAAATAATTTCAGCTATAAATTATTAATTAAAAACTTAAATTATATGCAATCGCTTTTAAATACTCCAATTTACAATAAATATGATTGTCGTTTATTCGTTTTTGAATTGATTGCAATCCGAGATTGGACACCATATTTCTTCTTCTTAATTTGATTACCAGATATCAACATAACAATCTGTGATTCTGTTTCAGCTTGAATTTTTTGCACGATTGTAATAAATCTGGGAAGCCCTAAATAAAATATATGAAATAAATTAATATAATATATTAATGACGAACCCCGTAAAAGAATCCCCAGAAAAAAAATCCCCAGACTACAATATGCAAATGGTTGAACAAATATTTTTTAAACATTAATTAGTACCTATCTATAATTACCATTTACCACATTATTAATATTTAATTACAAATTATTAGGTATATTATATTATTAAAAAAATTATGTATTATAAATTTATAAATAATATTTTGTTTTAAATTACGAGATAATATATTATGTGTAATTCAACTAATCTAACTTAATAACTTCACAAATATAGCATATAAAAATACTTCGAATGATAGATACGTCAAATAATACAGTTAAAAACATAGTATACAAAATATGCAAAATATAGGTAATATAATAATATAATAATTATCAAACAATAATTTATTGAATGTAGGAAAGAGGCACATTACACATACATACATAATATATTATTTATAATAATGTATAAATATGTATATAATATAATATACGTATTTGTAATTAAATATTAATAATGTGGTAAATGGTAATTATACATAATATATACCTACTAATATTAACGTTTAAAAAATATTTGTTCATTTTGCATGTAGTTGTGAGTAATATTGTAGTCTGGGGATTTTTTTCCTATTATCATTAATGACGTCTGTAATTTGATTTATACCTGGATGAGGACAAGTCGACTTAACTTTGTATTCCACGATTCTGCTGTTTTAGTTGTTCTTGGATGTTCTAACCTAATACAATTGGAAACTGACCAAATATCTGGGAAAATAATGGAGGATTTCGTGAAGGTACATTGTTAAAGCTCTTGTTCTCATACCGATTTTTCCAAGTACCTACGTAAGTTTCTTAAAAGTATGTTGTTAGACTTTTTGCTTCATTATTATTATTGAACAGAGGTTTTAAAAGAGACCATGCTTCTTGAATTTAAAACCAAAATAAATATAAAAATATTAATTTTAATTATCTAATGGCTATAATACCATACCATGTCAATCGGCAAAAAAATACCATTGCGGGGATGTGTCTAGCTAAAAGAATAAAATGTGTATCATTTAAATACTTTGTAGTTAAACCAAAATTTTGTATTTTTCTATACAATATATTTTGGTAGAAATGAAAGAAACATGTTGAATGCATATTTTATCAAAGGTTGTTGTATTACGCCGAAATAGATTTCTCTTCGGCGGAAAAGACCTTTTTCGACCACTCCTTTTCTCTGGCGGCATATTAGAAAGCCGCACGCCCTACGCTCAACGGTCGTAAGTAGGTACGTGCCGTTTTCTTAATTCGTGATCGTATAATAGAGATCGTTTTTTTTTTTTGTCGGTGACAATGTGTTTATTGGGAATGGCCGATTACTAAGAACGACAGTCTGACTGTTATTTATTATTCTGTAAGATTTTAGTTTATTTATCATAAAGATGTGTGAATGATAATATCATTACAGTAGTTTTAAAAAGCGTAGTGCAACACGGAAAAAGAAAATTCAGAAAAATGGTAATTTTTTCTCAAATACAATTTTTAACGAAATTGATTTTATTTTACTGTAAATCAAAAACTAATGACCGTCGATATTTTAAATTTTCACGGGATGTTAATTTTCCGTCGGTACATGTTACAATTTTCGAAAATGTTTGACTATTTTCGAGCTATTAGTATCCATGAGACATTTTTGTATTGGGTAATTTTTTTTTTTAAACTATTGTCGATAAATAATTTTTTGCTCGATCAAAAAACTTGGAAATGTAATACTAAGTTCTACATGAGTTGGTAATAATGTAATTTTAAAAAAAAAGTTGAGCGTAAATCCACAATAATTTTTAATGATCGTTTGAATTTAAAATGTGTAGGTACCTATACGTTATTGGAATATTGGATATTCTATTCACATATTTTATTGGAATTTAAAAACAAATAATCGTAGACACATACAATTTTCACCAATTGTTTGTACTAGCATTTCCTATACATGGTAAAAAAAATTGAAAAAAATTGAAATTCTTTTTGTGCTATTTATAGCCATGAGAAATTTTTGAATTATGTAAATTATTGTCAATAAAAAAGTATTTATGTATATATTTAAGATTTGTGATATTGTTTTATAAAGGCACTACTCATTAATTATTATTCACGTATATATTAAATAAAAATTCTCTAAACAAATATTTTAAAGGGTTATATACGGGGTTGAAGTGGTTAATAACTAGCATGTTTGTGTTCAATCACTAGGATCTCATTTTTTTTTTTAAATTAACTAATTAAAGGTTTAATAGTAATTTGGTTTTTTATACTTTTTTTAATGTTTGTTTGGAAATAAACAGTTGAACCAATCTTAAAATCTAAACTATGCAATTATGATGCTGAAAACCAATTTATGAATACATTTTGATAGCAAACAAATTCTTAACTTTTCAATCACAGAATTCAATACTGGCGGACTCTTGACGACCGGTCGATTGTATCATATAGGTCGAAAATGTTTTCCGAAAAAACAACTGACCTTATATAAGTGCATAACTATTATAAAATAAAGTATAGCGATATAACTCATTTTCTAATGCATCAATTAGCTCCTAGTCCACGTCCTAAAACTTAATCATTAATCAACAAACCTGATTCGTCGTCTGTGGTTGTGTACATAGGCTTGCGCAGACTTAAATTTCTGGTCGAGTCTAGTATTTTAGTGCCCTAATATTTGGACAGCGCCCCTAATTTTTTTTAACACACCAACATACATGTTGAAGTATTAACCTATAGTACTGTAGTTATTGTATTTGTATAAAGGTACCTATAATGTTTTTGTTATGGATTAATAAAATGTTTAAATGTATGTATTTAGTGGCACCTAGGTACACACAAATATTTTTGATTTGTGAAGTCGATTTATACTTTCACGACAAACAAAATTTTCATGATCTCTACGAACATATTATTATGATATAAGCATTATAGTAAAATATTTAAATATATATGAACATTTTACCATGCCCCTAAAAAGTTTCAGGTCGAGCCTGGACTTGACCGGCTCGCCCCGTGCGCACGCCTATGGTTGTGCAACATCTTGTCAAACAATTTTTTCTTTTATACTCACTGCAACTACAAATTATTTTTTCTTCAATCTTTCGGTGTATACAGAATAAATATCCTTAAAATATTAGTAAATTATTGCCTTTTTGGCTTTTGATAAATTCTAGCATTTTTTAATTAAATAAAAAGTATTGGTTAAATAATTTGATTTAAGGCGGTTAAATGCTCACGACACGCACTGTAGGTAATGATATAAAATGACACACTATATAATACCATCAAAATAACGAATAATACTAGATTAGATAAAGTGCGATTATACTACTTCTAATCTCAACAGTTATTATATTTTATTTGGTCGTTGATATTTTTACGCGGGATATTTTGTCATGGAATATTTTTGCGGGGATATTTTGGTTTAGGGATATTTGGTCGGGGATATTTTGTCGTGCAACCATATATAGTACCAATATAAAAATGTAATAAACTAATAATAAGATATTGGTTATACCTACTGTTACAGTTAGGTACACTATAGTACTATACAGTAAATTCTCGATTATCTGTAGTAGTAACTATCTACAGTAGGTATCTACCAAAAATAGTGCTACATATCATGTACAATATGTAGATTGTAAGTACATATATGTATTTGTGAAAAAATAAATGCAAGTGTTAGGTATAGGTATAATATATTACATTAATGTTTAAATAAAAATACCACATAACTTCATCTAATTTTCTTTAAAGGCTATTTAATATTACATAGGATATATAGAATTTTTTTTAAAAATATAATAAAATCATTTTTTTTTTTTGCATTTTTTTCGGATTAACCGCGGAATCCGGTTATCCGTGTTGGCTGTGCCTCCCTTTTTCGTGGATAATCAAGAGTTGACTACCCAATAATATAGACTGGCACTTTGGCAGTCCGTCTCCGGATCTCCGCTCAGAATCGTTTTTCGTATGCAATAATTTCAAATTTAACAATATATCCATTAAATATAGCAGCCTTTGACGGATCCAGGGCCTAATTTTTTTTAATAAGACACGTGGTAATGTTTCGTGTGCACTGCAGTTTTATATATTATTATGACTACCAGACCACGTATTATATTTATTATTATTTTATTAAAATTATAATGTAACAGTGGCCCAATTATAGTAACGACCGAGATGTGGATCGATTACGTAAATTCCTCAATTGGGTATGAAGACAAAATTTGGAACCTTGATTTCATTACCGATAGTATTTTTAATTCAATGATATATCATTAATCATTTTTTGTTATTGTACCTATAGTTATAGATACAAAAAACGATATTGAGCGGATGCCGTCCGTCATCATATATATATTCCTAAGACAATTTTTAATTAAGTTATATCATTAGTGGTAATTTGTTTTTCTATTAATTGTAAAACATCATAATTCTTTGTTTAAATTGATATCAAATTTTATTATATACATATTATTTTATACATATTATTTGCTCGAGAGTTTCGTCTAAAAAATAATCTTTTATTTATTGCAAAAGATTCATTACCTATGTTAAAATAAAATAAACAAACTCTTATAATGTATACCATTTATATAAATATTTAATTGTACATGTTTGAGTTAAGAATAAAATATAATATCAATAATAATGCTTCAGTATTAAAATAATGAAAAAAAAATAATAAATTGTTTAGATATTGTAGATATTATTATGTTATATTATGAATTATAATATTATTATACAACATCATGAAATATCAAAGAGAAGGTTTAATTCAAACTAAAAACATTTATTGAATCGGTAAAGAATAACATACTTATTTTAAGAATAATGGATGATTAATAACTATACACAATATAATATTAACACATTATATTTTTATGATAATCATATTTAATGTAGATCATAATATACGAGTAGAGATGCTATATTGTCATAAATTGTTTTAATTTGTAAGATTTTTTTATAAAACGTGTTTTAGATTCTGAGCAGAGCGATGAATGTATTGGTTTTACAATGATGTATGTTTTTTTTTATATTTTTATATTTTTATATTTTTATATTTTTGTGTCTGTCATCACGTTTTGGGACAGTAAAAGTGCTTCGATTTTCTTCAATAGTACCTTTTCTGATAGGAAAGTGAATCTAGTTGGTACTTTGGGGGGTCAAAAGTAAACATTTTCCAGTAGTTTTCAAAAGCGCCGGGAAAAACAACATAAAAATTAAGGAAAAACGGGAATTTTTACGCAAAATCGATTTTCCAAAAAATCGAATTTGGTTTTTGGTGTAACTTTAAAACAAATGACCGTAGATACATGAAATTTTCACTGGTTGTTTATATTTGCATTTTCTATACACGATAACATTTTCAAAATATTTTGATTTATTTGGAACTGTTTAGGGACATTTTCATTTTTCATTTTTTTTTAGTTTTTTTTCTAGAAATATCAATAAAATTTTATTTGTTGGTTGCGAAAGCTTGAAAATTTAATAGAAGGCTCCTAATATGTTGTTTCAAAGGCAGATGAAAAATATTAAAAATCCTTAGTCACAATTTTTTTTTATAAGCATTTAAAGTTCAAAAATTGACAAAATATGGAAAAATCACGAAAATTAGCAAATTATTTTGAGTTAAGAATTCGTAAAAATTTTTCTTTTTAAATCTAAGATTTGAAAATGAAACACAAGATTCCTTATAAGATTATCTACCTTTATCAATAAAAAAATCTCTACCGGACAGTCAAATTAAATTTTATGAGCGTTTGAAATTCAAATTTTTACAACATTGGATTTTCACTCGATTTCTCATGTAGTGATTTCCTTATTTTGTTGTAATTCAAAAACGAATAACTGTAGATACATGAAAATTTCACTGAATGTTTATATTAGCATTTCCTATACACCATACAATTTTGAAAAGATTTTGACTCTTTTTGAGCTGTTTACGGACATTTTCAGTTTTCAATTTTTTTAGTTTTTTTTTTTATAATTGTCAATAAAATTTTATTTGGTGGGCCAAAAAGTCTGAAAATTTAATACAAGGCTCCTGGTATATTGTTACAATAGCAGTTGAAAAATATTAAAAATACATAGGCACAGTTTTTTTTTATAACCATTTAAAGATCAAATTTTGACAAAATTTATCAAAATCTCGAAAATTATCAAACATTGTAATTAATAAATTATAAAATGTTCAGTTTTTATAACTAAGAGTTGAAAATTTAAAACAAAGATTCTCTTAAATAATTCATACTATAACAAAAAATCTAAGCAATATATGAACACAGTTATTTTTTACAGACATTTTAAATTCAAATTTGGACGAAATTACATATTAAAATCAATATTAACGATCTTGGTTTTTGTTGTAATTTAAAAATATTATTCGGGGATATATGAAACTGAAAAATCAACACATTATGGCCTATCCATACAATCTACCATAGTATAAGGAATAAGAAGTATGCTCAATGATAAGACTGTGCAAATTTTAAGGGGCAATGAATAATTTATTCATAAATTCCATATAATTTAATACCATAAATAAGTATATAATATGTCTTATACCTAGACTGACATACCGCCTCCGCTCAGAATCGTTTTTCTTATACAATGATATTATATCATTGAATTCAAATTTAATACCATCCATCATACAGTGACCCACTTGTAACCTACAGTACAGCAGAGCGACATCCACTTACCCACCTTTTTTTTTTCTAGTTGTTTATTATTTATTTTGATTTGTTACATTTTTTTTAGACTTTTAACACATTAAAAAGTTTATTTAAATTTTTATTCTTGTACTTCTATTGTCTACAATTTTTAACACTCAAAGCATAATATAACTTGTCATTTTTTTTTGTAAAATCATATTTAAGGGTTAAACTGTTAATAAATATTTAGAGAATATTTAAGGTATTTCCGGGTTATCTCAGCTAAAAAAATATTTCTAAGACTACATGGTATAATCTTCTGGGTTATCTTAACTTCTAAAATTTTTAAATTAAAAAGTATATTTTCGAAATTTATTTGACATTCAGTTATTACATTTATTAGGTAGGTCACCAAAAAGTGTTTTATATTTATTAGGTAGTTATAATCGCATAATAATTCAATAATAAACAAATTGTAAGTAGATTTCTTAGAGATATCATGTATGTTCTCTTCTGAAACATATTAGTTTAACTACAATCTATTTAATATAATTTAATCGTGTATATGTTCTGTTCTGGAACATATTAGTTTAATAACAATTTATTCAATATACTTAATTTAATCATTTTTTTTCATACTAGAAAATTAGAATTAGTGTTGATTTTCTTTATTTTAAATAGCTAAAGAGCATTTGCTATGAGTTCATGGTGCACTCATGGTGGGCTCTCAGAAACAAATTAACTGTCAAAAAGCTCCTAAAGTGTATGTTGGTTCATTTTCGGTTCGTCCTTATAAAAATGATTTTAATCGGATCTAACTATGTAAGTTTATGTAAAGTTAATTTACTATACAATTTCCAATGATGATTAAAAATGAAATATTTTTTTAGATAAGGCTTAAAAATATAATAGAAGGTTCCCCATATTAGGTAGTTCTTATTGAGTGAAAAAATCTAATAAAATGTATAACACCGTTTTTATTTTTAGTTATTCGAAGTTGGACTTTTTACGAAATTGAATATTTAACGAAGAATAACGATTTTAATTAGGTATTTTGTTGTAGTTCAAAAATATTGTTCGTGAGACTTGAAACTTTTATAAGTACATATGATAATACAATTTTCTATAAGCAATGGTATTTTCAAAATGTTTATACTAAGAAACTATTCACATTTCACACCGTTCTACGGTAAGTTCGGATTTATTTAAAAAGTTAAAAGTATTAATAACAATAATAATGATACAGTATTATATACTATTGCATTGGAGCCAATAGGGGGGGCTTGGGGGACTTAGTTCCCTCCATATTTCTCTAAGTCCCCCAAGTTCAAAATCAGTAATTAGTACTTAGCATATGTAGTTTTTAGAAAATATAGGTGGGGCTTTAGTCCCCCAAAATAAATTTTTGGTTATTTGTGCTAAGGTATTATTATAATAAATAATGATATAACATATTATATTGACAATGTTTTCGGGAAAAAAAAATTAATCTACCTTATAACTATAAATAATAATAGTAAAATAAAGTATAGGTACTCGAATTTACTATACTAGGTAAGCTGAATTCCTAAAAAAAAACCCCGATTATGAACAACGGGTAAAAATCCCAGAAAACAATATTAGAATATTAGAATATTATAATATAACGTTTCCTAATATTTTTACGATAATGTAATAACTTAAAATATATATATTTTTTTTTTAATTGATCTTTTTAAAGCCCGGCGACTATGGCCATTGGCTTGATTGTAGGGTTTATGATTGTAGGTAGTAGGGTTTGAAATTGTAGGGTTATTACACGTGTGTGTTGTGTTTAGCAGAATTTCTATTGGGGCACCCGTAGGTTTCTGCCATGCCCCGGAGTGGGGGATGGAGGCACTTGTTCTCCGGACACCGTGACTTGCCCGGAGAAAAATGCCGCCCAGTGGCCGAGAGAATCGAACCCGCGACCGCCAGCGCCGCAGACGACGTGTTCGACCGCTCGGCCACCTCGTCCCCACTTAAAATATTATAGTACCTAGGTAGTACAATTATAAAATAATAATAGGTAAAAATATATAAAAGGAAGTTAAATCGTATTCAATAGGTATTTATTTTAATGTTAAACATATTATGTTGGTTTTTTTTAATTGAATGATTATCCTAGTTACTCAAATTTTGTTTTTTTCATAATTTATTGTTGAACTTAGAGGTATCTACTTACAATATTTAAATATGATATAAAATTCATTAAATGATAAGTATGCGTAGGTATACCAATCCTATTTACCTAATGTATATTATTTGTAAATAAATATTAATATTGTTGTAAAGAAATATTTATTCAAACATTTTCATGTGGTTGTGAATAAAATTGTAGGGCGATCGGTATTGGGCCACATTTTATCTACCCGCTTAGTTTAAAATAATTGTTTACTTTTTACTTCCCGGAGATTGGGCCATAAATTCTTCGATAGGGGTTTTTAAGGGAATTTTTATTTCATAATTCTTATTAGAGTTACCAAGTAATACATATGTATTTATAAACATGTTTACACGTCCACTTAGCTTCAATCAGTAATTAACATATTTTATTATATTAAAAATATTGATGCATTAGATCCAATAATATGTCCAGTGTTTTTGAGATATTCAAACCTATCATTTTTAAAAATTAAAAACCTCAATTAAGTATTAACAATATTTATATTTTTTCTAGGTTGTGGGTTTCCATAGAAAAAAAAAATTAATAGATTCGTACAAAAACAAAATTAAAAATGAACCCGATCTCAAATTTTCAAAATTAGCGAGAAGATTATCAGAAGAAACTGGCATTAGCTATGAAACAGTTAAAAAAACTATTGTAAAATATTTGGGTGGAAAACCAATAACACAAAAAAAAAACCAATATGGACCAACGGTAAATAAAGAAATTAGCACTTTCGATAAATGTAAAATTCTCCAAAAAATTCATAGTTTTTGGTTAAGACAACAAATACCAACTTCAAAAAATATATTACTCGCCATCAAGGCTGATCCCGGTCTTCCATCACTCAACTTTAAGTCATTGGCAAAAGTAATTAGAGACCTAGGTATTGAATATACGAGAAGCATTCATCAGATGCGTGCTCTTACGGAGGCAGAAGATATTGTACTATGGCGTCAAAAATATATAGAAGATATACGGCGTTACCGAAATGAAGGTAGAACTATTTACTATTTGCAAGAAACGCAGGTCAACGTCGGCAGATATTCATCTAAAGAATTATGGGCCGATGTAGAATCTTCGAGAAAAGTCGAACAGATGATTGTCGTGCATATTGGATCGGTCGAAGGTTTCGTGGAGGGTGGTCTGCTATGCTTTGAGTCGGAAACAAATACGTCCGACTGTGATGACCATATGAATGAAGACATATTTTATGATTGGTTCTGTAATATATTGACTTTACTCGAGGAGAACTCGGTTATAGTTTTTGACAACGCGTCACACTATAATTTAAAAAATCACGTCCCCAACACGGCTTGGAATAAGGATTGCATTTTAAAATGGTTTGAAGGTAAAGGCATAGTATACGATAGGTCATTGAAGAAGGATCAATTAATGGAAAAAGTGAATGAGATAAGACTGATCTTTGACAACTATAAAAGAAGTGTACAAGAAGCAATAAATCATAATAAAGCTGTTCTTCGTTTACCTCCGTACCACTGTCATTTAAGTCCAATGCATTTAGCATGGGAGGTTGTGGCCAGACACGTGAAAATTAATAGCTGCCCATGTTCTAATCTGGACGATGTATATAATCTATTTAATGAAGGGGTTAAACTAGTAACGACCGAGATGTGGATCGATTACGTAAATTCCTCAATTGCGTATGAAGACAAACTTTGGAACCTTGGTGTCATTACCGATAGTATTTTGAATTCAATGATATATCATTAATAATTATTTGTTATTGTACCAATAGTTGTAGATACAAAAAACGATATTGAGCAGATGCCGTCTGTCAGCATATATTCCTAAGACAGTTTTTAATTAAGTTATATCATTAGTGGTAATTTGTTTTTCTATTAATTGTAAAACATCATAATTCTTTGTTTAAATTGATATCAATTTTGTCAAAATTTAACATATTATTTGCTTCAGAGTTTCGCCTAAAAAATAAGGCTTTATTTATTGCAAAAGATCCATTTTGCTAAAATAAACCAAACTCTTAATGTATAAAATGTATATAATTATTGAATTGTATATGTTTGAATAAAGAATAAAATATAATATCAATTATAATTCTTAAGTCTTAATGTTAAGGTATTGTAGATATTATTCTGTTATACCTTCTATTAATTATAATATTATTATGCAACATCATGAAATATCAAAGAGAAGGTTTAATTCAAACTAAAAACATTTATTGAATAGGTAAAGAATAATATACTTATTATAAGAATAATGGATGATTTATAACTATACACAATATAATATTAACACATTATAATATTATCATCATCTGATAGTTACTGTGTAACTTTTGGCTTTAACGGAATTTATATTGTACCTATACATAATAATACAGGTTTAGGACATTATATTTCTATAATAATAATTCTTTTTTTTCTGTAAAAAATTGTTTGATGTAGAACATAATATAGAGATGCTATTTTGTTATAAATTGTTTTAATTTGTATAATTTTTTTTATAAAACGTGTTTATTTTAGTTGTTAATTGTTTATTTTGATTTGTTACATTTTTTTAAACATTTAACACATTAAAAAGTATATTTAAATTGTTATTCTTATAGTTCTATTATCTGAACGTTTTAACACTAAAAGCATAATATAACTTGTAATTTTTCTTTTGTTAAATCATATTTAAGAGTTAAACTGTTAATGAATATTTAGAGAATATTTGAGGTATTTCCGGGTGACCGAAATATTTAGAAGACTAAATATTAATAATAAATCTTTTGAGTTATCTTAAATTCTTAACTACCAACATTTTTAAATTAAAAAGTGTATTTTAATACTTTAATAATTTTATTATATTTATTAGGTAGGTCGCAAACAAAGATTTTATATTTTTTAGGTAGGTAGTTATTATCGTATAATTATTCAATGATAAACAAATTGTAAATAAATATCTTAGAGACGTAGAGTTTAGATATCATTTATGTTCTCTTCTGAAACGTATTAGTATAACCACAATTTATCCAATATAATTTAATCATGTATTTTTTATACTAAAAAATTGGAATTATGTGTTTATTTTTTTTATTTTAAATATTTTAAAAGCATTGCTATGAGTAATGGTGCACTCATGTGGGCTCTAAGAAAAAAAATTAACTGTCCAGAAGTTCTTAAAGTGTATTGTTGTTCATTTTAAGATCGTCCTTATTCAAATGATGTTAATCAGATGTAAGTTTTTGTACAGTTAATACTTCATTTACTATAAAATTCCTAATAGTTTTTTAAAACGCCGCGATAAACAACATAAAAATTAAGGAAAAACGGGAATTTATACGCAAAATCGGTTTTCCAGAAAATCAATTTTGGTTTTTGGTGTTACTCTAAAACAAATGAACGTCTTCATAACATTTTCTCTGGTTGTTTATATTTGATTTTTCTATACACGATAAAATTTTCAAAATATTTTGATTTGTTTTAAATTGTTTAAGAACATTTTCAGTTTTCAATTTTATCAGTCTTTTTTTCAATGGATGTTAATAAAACTTTATTTGTTAGGTAAAAAAGCTTGAAAATTCAATACAAGGCTCCTACTATATTGTTACAATGATATTTGAAAAAGATTAAAAATCCTTACTCACAGTTTTTATTTATAAGCATTTAAAGTTAAATCTTGACAAAACACGGAAAAATCAAGAAAATTAACAATTTATTTTTAGTGAGAATTCATAAAAAATTTTCTTTTTAAAATTAAGATTTGAAAATGTTATGCAAGATTCCTCATAAGTTTGTCTACGTTTATCAAAAAAAAAAAAAAAAATGTCTACAAGCAAATCAAAGTAAATTTTTATGAGCGCTTGAAATTCATATTTTTACAATATTGGATATTCACTACATTTCTCATGTAGCGATTTTGTTATTTTGTTGTAATTCAAAAACGAATAACTGTAGGTACACGAAAATTTCACTGAATATATTCTCATTTTATATACACTATATATTTTTGAAAATATTTTGACTTGTTTTGAGCTATTTACAGCTATTGTCAGTTTTCAGTTTTTTTAGTTTTTTTTTCTATAAATATCAATAAAATTTTATTTGTTGGGTAAAAAAGTTTTTTTTTTAATACCATAGATAAGTATATAGTACCTATGTCTTATACCTAGACTGGCATACCGTCACGGCTCAGAATCGTATTTCTTATACAAAAAAAAAAATGATATATCATTGAATTCAAATTTAATACCATCCATTATACAGTGACTTACTTCTAACCTACTGTACAGCAGAGCAACTATTTTATTGATCTTTAAATATAACTCGGCAGCAAGAGCAATTAGTTATGTTAAAAATGTTGTGTCATAATCTTTTAATTAATGTATTAAAATTATTCATAATAATTGAAAAATTAAGAAGTTTTGATTGATTTATGCTTATAATAATTTTGTATGTTTACATTTTTGTGTTTTAACTAGTATTTAATTGTATGTTTAGTATATGTTTAACGAAGAAGAAAATGACTTACTTCAAGATATTAAATTTCTTCCCCACTATTCAGTCATATCCAAATTGAATAATATTGGAAAGAGAGCAAACACAACAATTTTAAGTATTATTATTTATTAGTATATTATATTGTATACAATATAATACTAAATATATAATTTTATTTTTAATATTTTTTTATTCGTGGTACAGCTTCAACAGCTAAGGTTATTTGATTGCAACAAAAAAAGAGGTATTTAGTTACATATAAATATATATAATTTTACGGGATGCAAAATATGATAAAATGAATATTTATAGTAGCTTAATTTATTATTCTAAATTAAAGCCCTATTTAAGTTACAAGCATATATAATGAGCGAGCTCAAATCACGTTTACCACTATTATTAAGGATTATAAATAAAACTCATCATCGAAATGATCGAGTTAATAAATATTTTGAAAAATGTGTTTAAAATAAATATTGAAAAGGAATTTAATTTGACCAACCTAAAAATAATTCCAGTTTCAATAATTCAAGTTTCATAAAAAAATATAATTTATTCTGTTCCCGATTTATTTGATAATATTAACTGTTCATTTCACTACTTCTATCAATTCGTTTTGTGTGTGTGTGTGTGTGTGTATTGCACTATAAATTGTATATTTTTTTAATTAAAATGTTTTGGTAAAATAATACAAGTGTAAATACTATTTTAGAATCTGAGTGAAACGATGAATGTATTGATTTTACAATGTTGTGTGTTTTTGTATTTTTATTGTTTTTTGTGTCTGTTATCACCTTTTAGGACAATAAACGTACTTGGATTTTCTTCAACAGTATCTTTTCTGATAAGAAAGTGAATGTAGTTGGTGCTTTAGGGGGTAAAAAGGGACAACAATTTCCAGTAGTTTTCAAGAGTGCAGTGAAAAACAAAAGAAAAATCCTTAGTCACAGTTTTTACTTTTTTGTTATAAGTTCAAATATTGACAAAATACGTAAAAATGACGAAAATTTGCAAATTATTTCGAGTTAGAAATTCATAAAAATGTTTCCTTTTTAAATCTAAGATATGAAAATCTAATACAAGATTAATCATAAGTTTGTATACCTTTATCAAAAAAAAAATATCTACAAGAAACTCAAATTAAATTTTTATGGGCGTTTGAAATTCATATTTTTACAACATTTGATATTCACTCGATTTCTCATGTACCGATTTTCTTATTTTGTTGTAATTAAAAAACGAATGACTGTAGATACTTGAAAATTTCACTGAATGTTTATATTAGCATTTCCTATACAACATATAATTTTGAAAATATTTTGACTCTTTTTAAGCTGTTTACCGTTTTTGCTCAGAATCGTTTTTCTTATACAATGATATTATATCATTAAATTCAAATTTAACTCTATCCATTATACAGTGACCCACTTGTAACCTACTGTACAGCAGAGCACCTTTTTTATTTTTATTTTATGATCTATTTTAACTCTTTTTGTTAGTAAATTTCAAAGTGAAAAAAAAATAAAAATCAGAAAAATTAAATTTTTAAAGTACCTACCTATAGATAATTTAGTGACGATTTCAAATCTGCTTTCAAAGTTAGTATCAGAACATTGAATTGGGCATAGTCATTGAAGTCGTGAGTTATGTTTTTGACTGAAAATGAATCACGCTCCAGCCCCCTTAACAACAAATATTATAATATTTGTGTGTACCTATGTTTAAATTATTTTTTAACATAGACAAACATGTCACCAAATTACAGGAATCAAATAAAATAGTATTTTATTATGATAAAATAATTATAAAATTACATTTTATTATTAACTGTTCATAGTTTACTACTACTATCAATTAGTTGTCTATGTGTGTATGTGTATAATATGTTTGTGTGTTATTGTACAATAAAATGTACATGATTTTAATTTAAATGTTTGGTAAAAAAACTTGTACTACAAATATGTTTTAAAATTTTTTTATTCGACTGAGTATGATTGATTTGTTTTGTGCCTTCAACTACAAATATAAAAATAACAGGCTATCTTAAGTTTACACATACAAGTTACAACTAGTGAGATAGTAAGTAATTTATATAATTATATGATATATATTGATTTTACAATAATTTGTGTATAAACACGATTTATAGAAGAAAAAATGCTTTGCAACTTCAATATATTTTTTGGTGGCAAAGTGAATCTAGACAGTACAACATAGTCGATCGCCTACAACAACCGAAACCGAACAGAGGAAAACGCCCACTCTGCG